GCCTGTTCCAGAAAATGAGAGCTACCTGCATTGAAAGCTGCCTCTGCTGCTAGCTCTGAGAGATTGATGGCCGTCATCCAGCAGGATTCAAATTGTTTGCAATCCTTTCTCCTGTCAGTTACCTAATCAAAAAAACAAAAAAAAACAACAACTTTGCAATCAATTTGATTAAAAAGAAGATATAAAGAAGAAGGTATTACTTCTCATTTGAAAGCTTGTGAACAATAACTCCGTGTTTTCAAGTCATTACCTCCTGACGATGCCTAAGAATGACCTGCCAGATTGCATCCTCCTCCACAGAAGTGAATCTGTTGATGGAACCCACATAGCGCTTGTGTAATGACACAAGACTGTTTATAGCCTAGAGAAGACAAGTATGTTGGATGTTGTTTTTGCGATTTTTAAATCATGAAAATGAAAGCAACTGTTCCAATAGTTTTGATTACCTTAATATAACCTGAGAGAGAATCAAGCAGTGCTAAAGTAGTTTGTGAGAGGTAAGTATTAGCACTGTCTTTGACCAGAGATGATGCCCTCCGCACTAGATCTTCATGGGACAGATTTTCTGGTTTCTAAACAAGACAAAGAAAAAGAGTTGTTAAGAGGTTTGTCAGATACCAATTTAGTGGAAATGAAGTTCTACATGGTGAATTGTAACCACTAAATAGTGAAGACTGAACTCACAAATATTAATTAGCTCATGTTGACATTACTAGGTCATCTTCATAGGCCGTTCAATCATGCTATCTGATTAATATACATGAGCTAAGCCAAACCATGGTATGCCACTATTAATAAATTGAGGTCCCACACAGATAAGCTTAACTAAAGTTGTGTAATGTAGATGTTTCATGATGTTTTATTGAAATGCTTTACATTCTCTCTGATATTTGCACACACTATCTCCCATTAATGCTCTCATCTTTGCACACAAACTCGGCATAAGTAATCTGTGTAAGTAATTTTCTTTTATCCAAAAATGCTAGTTTATGTTATCGCATTGGACTAAAACTTATTGACTTTACTCACACAGGTTGTAATAACTTCCCCAAAAATTAGATAATTTTTGGAGGGATCCCCCACCCCCACATCTTGTTACACTAGTGGCATCATGACCAGCCTACAAAAAAAATTGCTTATAAATTTCTTGTTATGCTATTTTATTACCAAATAAAGTATTCAATATTTTTATTAACTGGTTGCTTGTTTTCAATTAGCACAGGTTTTGCATTTCTTTTTGGAATTGATTGTTTGTAATGCCTCATCTGAGCTTAAGCACCTCAGTTTATGAGTGAACACTGCCAATATTATCCACAAAAAATACTTTTTTCTCTTAAAAACTAAGGTGCATAAACTTAATGTGGCCTACAAATAATCAATTCCAAAAAGAAAAGCAAAACCTGTGCTAAACTGAAAGAAAACAAGTTGACAAAAAGATTGGATCTGAGATTTGGTGATAATAAAGTATAATGTGAGATATACAAGCAATTTGTAAAAGGCTGCTTACACATCAAATTAGGTAAAGGACTCTCAGCAAAGCACAAAGGTTAATAGATGTCAAACCTGAAATGTCAATAGTTTAACTTCACGATACGATTAGAAATAAAATGCATTAATTTTAAATGATTTTAAATGTAAATAAATAAACTTTATTTATTTCTAAATAAAGCTATTTTTTCCACATAAATGTAAGCGTAATTACATTGATGCAAATGTAAATGTAATTACAGTGAATTGTACATGAAGATTCTACCAATTATATCAGGAATGATGCTATCTTTTGAACTCTGCATGTGTGTACTGAATATTAGCAGCTATAACAATCAAACAGTCCATATTCCAATCACATTATCATGGCTCAGACCTGGATGAAAGGAACGGCACACAGAGCACCCGTGACACTCAAGGTCATCCAGTTGTTCCTGAGGAGTGTGGGCAGCAAAGCCAGTCTGCGGCTGCTCTGACAGGAGCTTCTGCTCATCAAAGAAGCTGCCCAGCTACACAAAACAGAATGACAAAGCTCATGTCAGGAACAACCTACGATGTATAATTCAGTCACTCAGTACAAGGACAACACTTCATATTCATGACAGTTTTAAACACATGAGGCTAAAATGAAACGGAAAGTAAGCTCCATATTAATAATGAAGCTAAAAACAAGAACGTTAGGCAGCGAATCTACAGACAGCGAACCTACAGTAGGGTGACCATACGTGCCATTTTCCCAGGACGCGTCCTGGGAAAATGGCACGTATGGTCACCCTAACCTACAGACATGTTTGTGTAACAGCAACTATTGTTCCATCCATTAATTAATTGTACAGCAATACAAATACACTACGATTTCGTTGCACGAAATTAAAAAATATTGAAGTATGAGACTATTAAAATATATACCACCTCAATCCAACAGCAAACAATTTCCTTCTGTACGCCGCCATACTTGTTGAGATGAAGAAATGAAAGTCTTATCAACCCCCTATCGGTGTTGACAGAGAATTGCACCCTCAGGTCCTGTTTAATAATAATGAGCCTTATGAATATTTAAGAAGATAGAATACTTAGCGAACTACACACTTAACAACAACAATACAACTACTACTACTACTATTACTACTACTAATAATAAATATTTACGAATAATTCCTGTTTAAGTGTCAATTTCCTTCAGTATTGTTAAGGCAGTATCATCGTAATAATAATAATAATAATTATTATTGTTGTTGTTGTTATTGATTATACTGTCTAAATGAGACTGATGAGATAAGCCTAAGAGGCCTACTCATTTTTATGCCTCTTTTTGTTCATAATATGCAATCGGTTTTATTTTCTCTGTCTCTATGGCAGTCATGTACAGCCACAACTGCCACAACTAGTACTTGCACTGCAACAACTGCCACAACCAGGTCTGCAAGTACGCTTCTTTCAGCAATGCCATGCCATTTTAATCAAAGCCTGGATCCAGTTTTACACTGTGTTTTTGGTTTGACCTTATCTGTTCTCTCATATATGACCTGAATAATATCGCAACATGATATTAGGCTATATTATTTCTCATTTTTTTCTCTTTCAGAATCAGTTTCTACATGCAGTTTTATGATTTAGGCATAATAATAAACGAAATAGAGATTGTTATTTTAGTATCTATTACTATTAGATACTATTATAGTTTTTGTTAATAATTAATTTTAGTTAGTTTCAGTCATTTTATTTTATTTATTTATTTTAAAATATGTCTACAAAGATATGTCTACATACATACATATTATGTTTTCATTTTTAGTTTTCATTATTTTAGTACTTTAACTTAAACTAAACGAAAATGAGAAATGATGTTTTGGCAGCTGAAATTAAGATTTTTTTATGTTTTATTTCAGTTAATGTTTATTTTATTTCAAGTAATTAATGCGTTTTTTATGGTTTTAGTTTCAATTTTAGTGAATGATAATAACCCTGAAGGAAGACATGAGTTTATTTCCAGGAGTTATCAAATTGATTTACAAACAATACAAGCCTTCAGAAGAAGTAAATGCCTTCTTCTTATACTCACTTGCTCTGAATTTGAACTCTGTTGGCTGTCCTCAGCTGCAGCCACATTCAGCTCAAGTGAATATAGTTGAGTCACGTCCAGATGTCACTTCTATTTTAGATTAACCTCTCATTAAAAACGTGTTTGTGAAGGATTTAGGCCCTGAGGACTATTATTGTAATCTCTGTCAGGCTTTATGGAAATGCCTATTCCCTAAACAATCATAAAAAACAAACACAAAAAGTTAACATAAATAATTAATGCGATCACTAACTTTGAGGTGGAGGGGAGTTCCAGTGTGGGTGTTTGTCTTGATACTCGAGAGCTTTCAAGTCACGAAAGATGCACTTCCTTTTCTAAAAAAATCACAGAAGGGAAATATACAGTAATGATGTACTTTGAAAATGCTGATGACATTTCATGAATGTCATCATGATGTTTTTTTTGTAATATTAGATCTTATCAAAACTTTTTGTCAATATTATTCACATTTTTAAAAAGGAAACTTAAAAGTCTGTTCAAAACTTTTACAATTACTTAATGAAATACTCTTCAAAGCTCTGAATTGTTTGTTTGTTTGATTTTACAAATAATATATTCTAATGAATGTTCATGCACAGCTAAGGCATTATCTATGAAAAATAAGCCACATATGTAAGGTTGATACCACAAACAGAATTATAATTACATTTAAATTTCATTAAGTAGAATACAATCCATATAAATGAAATAAGTGCAGTTTTATTTTCCATTCAATTCATATACAAATTAAACATGAATTAACATAACAATAAACATTAAAGATACACAAATTATATGGAGTATTTCCAGTATAACAGTAGATGATATCCTTTCTCAATATATGAATTGCCTAAATCTATTTCATTTAAAAAAATTAAATTTACAGACCATGGTAAATAAACACTTCATTTGCCAGAATGCACTATTTTAATTTAATGTCTTCTAAATTTAGCAAATCAATATGAAGCAAGTATGAGAATATATAGTCTAATATAAATATATTCTTATCTATTTTGTGATTATTGCTGAATGATTTGGAATTGCATTTTAGTAAATTAATATTTCTGTAATTCTTTTTGTATTTGATCAATACAAAATTATTGGAACTTAACATTAAAATGAAAAGTTATTTCAACTAAATAAAGTTTATTGACAAGTGTTTTGTCAGAAATGCACAAACTGAAAAAAACTGTGTTGGAACTTTTAATGAAGTTTTGTAACTATGTACTGGCAATATGAGATTTAAGTAGCGCGTCAGTAGCAGCCAGCAGCTTAACCTGTAGCATTTGACTGCAAACCCACTGAAGCTAAACAGGATTTAGCCTGGTCAGTCCATGGATGGGAGACCTCCAGAGGAAGCTTATGTTGCTGCAGGAAGTGGCATTAGTAAGTTCAACAGGGGGTTTTCATCCTGTGCCCAATGTCATAGAGGACAATGTAAAAAGGTACTGCTGGCCAAATGTTAAACTAACATTTAACAAGATCCACACAAAGAGCCCGCACAAAACTGAAAATTCTGTCATCTTTTACTCACTCTCATGTTACTCTAAACCTGTATGACTTTCTTTCTTCTGTGGAACATAAACAAAGCTATCTTGAAGAATGGTGCTTAACCAGTTTTGGGTACAGCAGAAGTTGAAGCTCTTTGGTTACCAACATTCTTCAAAATACTGACATACAACATGAGGGTGAGCAAAAGATGGACTATTCCCAGTCTCACTGCCACAAAGCAAATGTCATTTTACAGGGTACAGAGAATACACAGATGTTAATGTTTGACCCTTAATAAAAGCAAACCATTGCATTTATTACAAAGTGTTTGGCCACTGCTTTTGAGTCTGGGCCTTGAAAATGTAGAGCCTTGTCTAACTAAATCCTATTTGTTTTCCCCTATCAGTTACATTAAAGGGGTCATATGATGCGATTAAAATTTTTCCTTTCTCTTTGAAGTGTTACAAGCTCTTGGTGCATAAAGAAGATCTGTAAAGTTGCAAAGACTAAAGTCTCAAATCCAAAGAGATATTCTTTATAAAAGTTAAGAGTCAACCACGCCTGCCTAAAACAGCTGATTCTAACACGCCCCCACATGTCTACGTCACGACGCAAAGAAAGAAGTCGTTACTTTTATTCTCGCTGTAGTATTGTTGCTGCCGCCATGTCGTGAAGGCGCTGTGTGTTTCGTTATGAAAGCGAAACTACTTTGTTTGGCCTTCAAAAAGAGCACGATATCTGCTTCGTCATACCTAGAGCTGATCCGTGCTGGTCGCTGAGGAAATACATCAACTTCGCGCTGTGGATCGCCGGATCAGCTTTCACTGTGGACGAAGCGGAGTCCAGCCCGGGTTCTTAACATGTGGTTGCCGCAAACACGCCGGCCACTCCTTCGTCGAATCCGCCGGCCGTCACAACGCACTGGATAGCTGGCCAGTCAGAGCACACCTCGCTTTTCAGACCGATGAGCTTTGTAAAAATCGACGCGTTTCAGAAAGGCGGGGCATAGAGGAGAAACAATAATGTACAGTATGTGGAAAATAATGTGTTTTTTTAACCTTAAACTGCATAAACACATTTCATTACACCAAATACACCAAATAATTGTATTTTTAGCAACATCATATGACCCCTTTAAATATTCATAACGTTGCTGTTTTTGTTAATGTGATGTTTGACAAACAAGGTTTCTCAACGATCATGCTAAAGATCCAGTGGGACAGTGGTGAAAAGATGTAGAGAACATGTCAAACATTAAAGAATATCTCTTGTGAAACAATCTGTCAGTCATTTAGAAAAATGGCAAAATCCAAAAGGAGAAGCATCTCATTCCACATCAACCCTTTATTTTGTTTCTCTCATGGTTTTAACGTCTCCCCTGACAGGCAAGTGAGTCAGTGAATGAACAGGACTTTACTTACAGTACATCAGAGTTAATTTAGATGTCAATTTAGTTTGAAACAGTACCACATTAAGTGCTTATTTTTAAACCACTGCTACTAAACGTGTTGCTCTATGACAAATGGTTTGACTGAAAGTGAAGTAGTATTTAAATAAACAGCTGAAGGCCTGGTCTCTCAGACCATATATAAGAGGACTTAAGCATTTGGGGAAAATGATGAACACTAAAAAGCAAAAATACATCACATTCAATGAAGTCATATAATCAGTATAAACGAAAATGGCTTCTTGGATAACTCCAACTAAAATAGATGCAGCACAGAGGCCCAGCTGTATCAGATGCAACAGAACAGTCTTGTTGGCTTTTTTGGCTGACATTTTATCACAGGCGGCTGTTTTAGCCACAGCTGCTATAGAGGCATAAGTAATTTAATAACAAAACACACAGACACGAAAAATATACATGTGAAAGCTATATCAATTTTCTTATAGATCTGAAGTCTGAAAAGAGTAGTTCTTGAGCAGAACAAATGTATTGCTGTGTTTGTAGAATCAATGGCATAGAAAATAATAATCCCAGACAAGCACTGAATCAAACCCAACACCGATAGCTATATGAGTTCTTCTGTAACTGGTGATTTCTGCATGTCTGAGAGGAAAGCAGATGGCCATATACCTCTCCAGTGACATTAAAGCCAGATTTATAGTAGAAACTTGAAAGAGAGCTTGTGCAGCAATGAGAAGAACAAGACAGACATTTTTCATAATTAAAATCCTACTGACAGCACATATATACAACACTACACTCATAAAGAGATTGAGCATATCGACCCAAAGCATGTGACCAAACAGAATATAACGGGATGTTTCCTGAAAAACAGTCTTTTTCCTAAAAGTGAAGAGCATGACCCCATTGACATAGAGGAAAATAACACATAGAGTCACAAACAAAAACGCCTTCATTGGTGCATCTCAATCCAGCACCAACAGAGTCTGAGTGAGATTAGATTTAGAGTCATTAAAATTAGA